TTGCATCTATTGAAATATTAATATAATTTTCATCCTTCCATGAAATCACACCAATAATTTGCATATATTTAATCATCTTTGCAACCCAAAGATAAATACCACTTAATCGTGGTTCCTTTAATGTGCTGTGGAATTTGGCTTGCTAGTATTTTTTGAGGATTTTTGGGGTTCATTAGGGATGAAGATTCTTGATTGCAAATGTCTTAATTATCTATATGTCTATTTCATAAAAATTCTTATGTTATTTAATTACTGTTATCCTTGCTTTTTGACTCAAAATGTGTGACATTTTTTATAGCTATTTTATATATATATATATATATATATATATATATATATATATATATATTTTTTTTTTTTTTTTTTTTTTTGAGACGGAGTTTCGCTCTTGTTACCCAGGCTGGAGTGCAATGGCGTGATCTCGGCTCACCGCAACCTCCGCCTCCTGGGCTCAGGCAATTCTCCTGCCTCAGCCTCCTAAGTAGCTGGGATTACAGGCACGCACCACCATGCCCAGCTAACTTTTTGTATTTTTAGTAGAGACGGGGTTTCACCTTGTTGACCAGGATGGTCTCGATCTCTCGACCTCGTGATCCACCCGCCTCGGCCTCCCAAAGTGCTGGGATTACAGGCTTGAGCCACCGCGCCCGGCCTTATTTATATATTTTTAATACTTTAAAATATTTTGATTGGCGTATCTATATAAAAACTTTTTGTAACAGAATGGCTATAATCAAAAAGACAAAATACAAGTGCTGCAAGGATATGGAGGAAAAGGAAACTTTGTACGCTACTGGTGGGAATGTAGATTAGTACGATTATTATGGAAAACAATATGGAGATTCCTCAAAAATTTAAAAATGGAACTATATGATCCAGCAATCCCACTTCTGGATATACACGTATTTTAAAAAATAAAATCAGTACTTTGAAGGGATACCTGCATTCCTGTGTTCATTGCAGTATTCTTCACAATTACCAGTAAAAATATGCTATATATATAAATTTTTGAAGTTCTTTTTGGTAAAGGTGAGATCTCACTATATTTCCTGTACTGGTCTCAAACTCCTGGATTCAGCTAATCCTTCTTTGTTGGCTTCCCAGAGTGCTGGGATTACAGGTGTGAGCCACTGTGCCCAGCCTGCTTTATATATTTTGAATATGCCTCATATTCATAAAGGTTCAATGCTGTTGTGTATTCTTAGTAGATTATTTCTTTTTTTAGTATTAATAATTATTTTTGATTTCCTAGCATTTTTACCAGGAAAATACTGACTTGTATGACAGTAAAATTGCTATATAATCATGTTAATATTTGACAGATTTTTAAAATATCCTTTTATTTTTTAACACTTTTCTATTTTTTTCAGGTTTGTCTTTTGGTAAATAATAAATAGCAACCTGACATCTCTGTCTTTTAATAGGTCTAATAAAATTACTCATATTTATGTAAATATACATGTTTAGTTAGTTTTTTTAAACCAAGAGTTTCTAAAAGCTTTCTTTCCTTCGGTTGATTAGATTGTGTTTTGCAACAGTTTCCTTATTCTGTTTTAATAGCTATTCATCTATTTAATTTTAGCCTGCGTGTATTTTTAACTCACACACAGAAACTTACACATTCTTTGAAAAACAAAGTCTGGACTATATTCTAGCCTTCTCAATAACACAATAAATTTAGCATGTATTCATTTCCTTTTATACTATCCTTCCTTCTCCCCCAGCTAATTCCCATGCTGACATCTTATTGGATTTTATTTCTAGATTGTTTATTTAACACACATACACATGTATAACTACTTCAATTTAGCAATATTTTTAAAATGATTACTTCACTCACCGTATTTCTTGTAATTATTTCCTCCCAGATTTAGTTTTCTTCTTGCTGAAATATGTCCTTAGTAATTTTTTCAAAGAAGGTGCGTGTAAACTTTCTAAGGTCTTATCTGTGTGAATATGCCCTTAATTTGTGAAAGAAGATGAATGACTAAATTTATTTCACTGACCCTAGTCAGATCCAGACCCACACCTCTTTCTCCTCACTTTTCCTCCCAGACCCAAATTGCATAACAGCTGCTAGAACCTTAGCTTCAGTCTTGCAGTACCTGAATCCTGTCTCACTATTAATACAGCCCCATATCTTCTCTGAATTGAAACAATTCTTTGTATAAAAATCTTTCCTATGTTTTGCACAAATCCCGGCATGCTTATTGACTTCCCTAAACATATACCTTTAAAAATCATTTGTAAGGATTTTGGGTTAGAAGGGGAGATTTCAGCATGTGCTCAAATTGAAGTAAGATACTCTTATTTTCTGTTTGGTTGGACCCATGTGACAGTATATCCCTGGGGATATAGAGAAGGACTTTTATTGTTACTCTGTACTTTCCTTTGTTTGAATTACTGCTTATTAATTTCCCTTTGATTCAAGATAAGAGAGTACACTTGTGTTGAATATTATCCTTCCTCCTCCCCTGCCCCACCCACCAATGCACCTGTCAGCTTTCTCTCTCTGCTTAAGAGCCCTGATGCTGCTTACCTGTGTAGACAGCATTCAAGGGCTTCTACTCTTCTGTTTTCCAGTTAGGTTTGCCCAGTGGGAGGTACTGACAGGAGATCAGACAGCTGAGTGGCAATGAGGATGGAATATTTATTCCCTGGTCATTCCATTCTCCTCCTCCCACCCATAACTGAACACCTTGTTTTAGCTCCACCCTTTTACTGAAGACAACTGCTGTCAGGCAGCCTTTTGAATACAAGGACCCTCACTTCCTCACCTTAATCCTTCTGGCCTAGGGGTAGCATGGAGAACCGTATACCATTACTAGCTTCTCTGCATGCTGCCTGTATCTTTGTAATTAGTCCCTTTATTAGCCCCTCCTCAAATTAGCTTGAGAGTAATTTATTTTTGACCTGGGCCCTGATCAATACAAAAATAAAACAAAAACCAAAACAATAATGCGTACAGGTAACTTTATATAGTTCGGTCTTTTTGCTGTTTCATAACAATAAAATACTTAAGAAAGAATATAGGTGAAAAGAATTTCCTTTAGCTAAGGTAAGTTAGAGAAAGTAATAATAATTTTTTGAGCAGAAACTTAAACCGAAGTTTCTCTCCTTTTTCTATTTGCATTGCTGCTGGGTTTCTGGGCCTAGAGGGAAAGCAGGCAGGAGTGAAGTCTCGCCAATGCATGTCTTTATGTAGCACTGTGGGATCAGGCCATGGAGATTTACGGAATTTCTCAGTAGGAAGGGGCCATGGGGACTATCTAGTGCAGCAGTGAACAGCACAAAGCACTGCAAATTTGTGATAGAGTCTGGATTTATATATTTGTGAGGCAAAGATTTAAATACCACCCCATGCTGTTGCTTGTTCAGTGTGTCTGGTGCCTATAACAATTTTTTATGGCTAAAATATAGAACTAACTTTCACACTGGCATTTTGAACAGTAGCTTACAATGGGAACAGGTAACATTCACTGAACACTCACTGTGTGTGAGAGATTGTGTTCAAAGCTTTACTTGCATTATCTGACTCAACCATCAGCTAAATGCCATGTCGTGAGTACTAGTGTTATTCTAATCTTACTGATGAGGAAAATGAGGCAAAGAAATTTAAGGGACTCGCCCATCTTTACAAGGCAATTCATAACATGATAGAGCCAAGATTCAAACCTGAGTAGTATGACACTGAGTCCCATGTGCTTGTCCACTAAAAGTGTTCCTCTTGCTACACGAGCTATGCAGAAAAACTGCAGCATACATGTATATAACACAAATGCTGCTTTGTGTCTAACAACATACCATACATGTTGTTCCACATTATTAAATACACCATGATGCCACTTTAAATGACTGTATAATATTCTGTTGTTTTAATATATATTTGTTTAATCAATGTCATTGTTGGATAGTAATTTGCTCTATTTCCTTCTCAGTTCATTTCCAGTCCTGACTCCTATTATATTTTAATCTCTGACCCCAGCATTTCTTCAACCTCATCTGTAAAATGATAATAATGATGATAGTATTTCTGTCATTGAGCGATTAAGTACATATGTAATTTTAGGTAATGATAATAGAATATTAAACATTGCTGTTGGGGAGTGGGGCTCTAGGGGATGACTCTGGTTTTTCCCCTTTTGCTTGCCATTACATATTCTTTTAATATTTAGATATATTGTATAATAAGGAATATGACTTGGAACTTTTAAAAAACTATTTAATTGAAAATATAAATGTCAAAATATGCTTTAGCTCTTCTATCCTACAAACAGTTCTGTTGCTCCCAGTCACCCATCCAGGCTAAATTCATTTTTTTTACTTCACTGAACAGTGCTTGTCTGTATTGTTTTACCCCTGGTCAATACTTCACATGCTCTATGCAATCAGAAAATGATTCCAAGGACACTTATCAATAAAAATGCATGAGCCTCCCTCTCAATGCTCAGTATTTATTCCTGATGCATGTGCTTCTGCCAGACAGAGAGAGTGTTATGGGTGTTAGCAATTCAAAGGCACTCCTTAGAAATGCTGGAAAGGAGTTCTTATTTTTGCTGTGAGGGTGATCCCCTATTATCAGCACCTCATCTTCTGTATCATCTTCTGACAATCTTTGTGAGCATTTGATTTGCTATCTTAATTCTAGTGAGCCTCATACACTGATGCATTTATACCTAGGCTCTGCACAGGGCTAAAATGGTAGTGAGCTGATGTTTTACTCAACAAGAAAATAATCAGTGAAATACATCTTTGAAATAGATTATTATCCTATTTGTAAAAATGAATCAAAGATGTATAAAACCAGAACTTAGCCTTTACTCTTTGGATTTCAAAATGCAATTATGTTTTTCATAAATGATCTCATGACAAATGATTTAGCAAAAAAGTATGTGTGAGAGAGAGAAATTTTAGACAAAACTGCTTGGAATATATTTTATCTATTAAAGGAAAGATTGCTAATTGGATATAAATTTTAATAAAATAATATGACAAAAATCTTCAAGATATTTTTTCTTTTATTTAAAATGTTAGCTATCACAACACATCATACAATGAAATGAAGACCTTAGAATCACATTAAAACTTTTAAAAAACATCTCTATATAGTCACAAAACATGATACATGCTTCAGAGATACAAATATAGTGTAATACCAAAATCTCAGTACATTTTCACCATGAAAACAAGTAGGAAAAGCACAAAACTATCAGGAGTTTCCTTCTGTTTCCACAGTAGCTGACACAACTGCTTCAAAGCAATGATTTCTTTCTTTAGGGACTGTATCACTGACAGGGTTTTACAATTTCATTGAACACTGTGCTTTGTTGAGAAGTAACCACTTATTTCTATTTTAAGGGAGTTATACTGGAATTAAAGCACATGTTTACAACACATATTGGCACAATATGAAAAATAAACAGTTTTTGAATTTTCAATGCCAAACAATTGTTGTTAAATAAATAATTATTCCTCATTGTGCATGTCTTATTTTACCTTTCATTGCCCACTGACACAAATGAAGCTGAATAAATAACATTAGGTAGTTTATTTACGTCTTCTTTCATAATTCTGCATGGCACTCCTTTCATAAGCCACTGAAAACAAAGAGAAGGTAAAATGTTTTTTAAGTGATTCACTGAGGGAGTTAAACAACTAAAGTCAGGGCATATAGTAATTTATTTTAAACTCATAATGACATTTTTCCCCTCTGTGGAAGTATTTCTAGGAATGTTATTTGCACATCTTCCAATCCTGCCCCGGTCTCTATTCTGATTGGAAGTGATCTAACCACCAGAACTCAGTTTCTTTTGTCATTCATCATATAGTTGGTGCCCCCAAAGCTTATTTCCACAATATATTCCAGTGTTGATTCTCAGCAGCTTTCTCAAGCAGTGGCAAATACCCACAGTGAATTATAGAAAGGAAAAATGCCTAAAATAACCAGGAATATTAGTAGGATAAAAACAAAATGTGGGACTTTTATTCTAGCAGAGACCGTGGGCCAAATCCAGACTACCATTTGCTCTTGTAAATAGGTTTATAGGAATACAGACATACTCATTCACTTACATATTGTCTATGGCCGCTTTGGCCTAAAATAACAGATTTGGGTAGTTGCAACAGAGATTACGTGGCTCACAAAGCCTAAAATATTTATGATCTGTTTATTTTCAGAAAAAGTTTGCTGATCTCTGTTCAAGGGACATCTAATTGTGTGGGAGTCTCTTCCTCCCTTGTGGCTACCTCCCAGTGATGAATTGTCCTCCAGATTAAAAACAGCTCATGTACCACAGGTAAGTCAGTTGAGCCATGTAAATCCTACACTGTTTAACTTTTCACGAGCACCTGAATGGCCTACAAGGATTAATTATTGCTTCTAAAGGTATTTAACATATAGCTAGCAAGTAATTTAAACATATTATCTGGAAAAAAATGCCGAAATTGTGCATTATATATAACTTCAAAGGAATCTGTAACCACAAAGTTGTAAAAATCAGACTATTGTTATCAAAATATCTAGGGATATTTTTCATCATCTTAACCTTATAGACTTAGATGTATGTTATAGTAGAAATACTATGCTTTTTGAAATTTAGTATGGCTTGTATAAAATACTGAATTTAAACAGAAACAGTGGAAAGATCTGTGAAGAATCTGTAGGAATAATAGGTAGCTACTATGAGAAGTTTCTCCAGTGAGAAGAGGTTTGTTGACAGAGAAGGCAGGTAAAGGCACCAGTGTTTTCACTTCCCTCTTTTAATTCTGGTCTTAAACACCCAACTATCCTTTAAGTGAGGTTAACAATAAGCTGAATATTTTATATCAATTAAATATGCACTTGTGAGGCAGAACACTCTGAGCCCCACACTGGACAGGCTCGAAGGAAGGAAAGAGTTTATTTCTCATTCTGGTTTGATTATGTTAGGAACAGGATGAATAGCCCAAGTTCAGTCTCTGACAAGCTTTAGGTAACATGACTCTGTGCCTCAGAAAAATGAGATGAAAGCTAATGTCAACTAAGGAAAGACAGACTAGTGATTTAGCTGGAACATAATGTCCTCTTACCTGGTCTTTGAATCCTCTGAAGCCTGATATAAATTTTTGAGTGTATGAGCTGATGGTTTCTCTGTGAGAGAACATCTAGATTTATCAGATTGTCAAAGAGGTCTCTGACCATGAGTGGGTAAGGATCAGATGGCTGTAGATTAAGGCTGTGATAACCTAGCCGCAATGAGGTATATGAAAAGATCCCTGATTCACTGTGAATCAGATCACATTTTTGCTCATTTTTCATCTATTTATATTTTCTTAACTAAAATGGAGGAACAAAGATTTAGTTACAAATTGATCCTGATTCATTACAGGTGATTCTATTTATCATTACCTATGATTCTTTATTATTTTAAGTACATTTAATAGCACTCAATCTGTTCTAATTTGTACAACATCTATATTATTTGTAAAGTTAAGCATGTTCGGAAACCTATACCAATTCTGGAAATGGAAAGTTGATGACTAATATGATTATCAAGAAAACTACAGTTAAGTGATGACTAGTATGTACTGATACAAATAAAAGCCATTGTGGTTTATATTTATACTTCATTTCCAAAAGTGGGAAGATAATACATATTAATAAAACAATTACAAGTTTTTCATGAAGGTGCATTCATAATTTCTTTCACTTCACTTACACTTCAGCAGCCCAAAATGACTGGTGACAAAATGCAAAGGTAGTGTCTATGTAGAAATTGGAGAACCAATAAAAACACTAGGCTAGCTTGTCCTGTGGACTTCAAAACCAAGAACTATAAATTCCAAATTTATTGGTTATTTTCTATGAAAAGGTCAATTATGAAGCACCTAGAACTTTTCAATTATATGAATATATTATCTGGCTTCTGTGGTAGCCCAGATTGTGTTAACATTTTTTTTCTATTATGGGTTTTAATGTTTGCCCCACAGAAATCAGTTTTATTTGATGTACCCAAGTCTTATATTTCCCAATAAAGAAAAAAATGTCTATTAAAAAACACTAGAATAATTATTTTTGCTAGGCTTCAGACAATTAAGAATTAAGCCACAATATCTTATAGATTGTCTAGAAACTAGAAATAGTCTAAATGGGTAAGACAGCTGGTGATTACTTTCTAATTAATTACATATTTAGTATTTTAATTCTATTTTCACTGAAGGCAAAATAGAATTTGAATAGCTTTTCCAAGAAGCCCAAGAGCTAAGAGCTATAAGGTCTTAGCAAAAAGTGAGCTTCTATTAAAATGATATAGGGGTTATTTATCTTGAAATCAGTGTAATGATTTAGTTAACTAATAATGGTTTTCAGATATACATATGTGATATTTACAAAAAAGGTGGAAACTGAAGAGAAGGAAATGTGCAGTCTTTAAATCATATGAAAGAGTTGTCAGAATTAAAATGAGAATTGTGGCTTCCTTTCTCTCTAAGGGGTTTACAGCCAGAACACTCAAGGATATTTACTTCTGTTCCTTTTGAAAGTAGTGAAATAAACCATTATCACTCTCATCCTCTCCAACATCCATTAGGATGTTTAGATTTTGAATTTCTACAACTTCATAAAGATCAAGTAATTTGTATAAAGAATTTGTTTTGTGAATTTATTTATTTGTTTATTTTTGTGTTGGAAGAGTGCCAGATGTAATGTCTTGTAAAACTTTCAAATTACTTTGATAACAAGTGAAAATTAGCCTCATTCTTCCCTGTACTCCCCACTCCACCGTAGTTCAGTAAGGTTAAACAAGACTTATTTAACAGATCTACAGGAAAGAGGATAGGACTAACCCAAAGATTCAGAAAGGATAATGATTAAATGAGGCAGACACTTGTAAGGATGGTGATTTGAGAGAAATAGATAGTAGCTTAATCAGCTATAAATCCATTTGTGGTTACAACAATTGAATTTTTTTTACCATAAATACCCATTTTTATATCTACTACTCCTTTTTAATATTTTAAAAACTATGTCTTAGAAAAAAATAGTAGAAGTAGATTTGAGATACTGTTCATTTTCAGCCATGATTTCATACATACCAGAATTTAAAGCTCTTTTGCCCATTAGTCCAACAAAGGAATCTGTTTTATGCCCTGGAAAAATACATTTAGGGGTATTTTAATATGTATATCTTTGAGTAAACAAACTATTATAACTAGAACAAAGCAAGCTTCTGAATATATGTCTGTATAACAAATATGCATCTACTTTAAGTTTTGATGAGCCTTAATAAAGATTCCTTAAAAGTTTTATAAATTACACTAAATATAGTGAAAGCACTTTTCTCAATTCAACATTTAATATTAGCAAGAACTTTTTATTCATATTATATTTTATCTGTTATATAAGGTTTTAAAAACTATTTTTTTTTTGTTATTTGACCTAGCTTTCATTTTTTAGGAAGTCAATTTCACATTTATGTGAGAGTGAAATGTTCAAGCATATTTCCTTACGTTATTGAAAAGTTGTACTTCTCAGCAAGTAGACCTTAATTAAATCAGATTCCTTTGCTTGATAATTAGAACCTTCTAAAAGGTCAATGTTTTTATTTTATTGGATATAAAAGGATACTGCTTTCAGAAAAGTACATTAGTTTTGACATGAATAGAGTACATTTTTTTTTATCATACAGAAGTTTTTATATATAATTCCCTTCAAAGTCAAATCCTTGGAAAGTAAATATGATTACTATTTATTTATTTTTCAAAGATTAACTCTTGGGAAAAGGCTACTATTTTAATGCTAGGGAGAGAATTTATCTTGTTTTTTTTTTATTTTAATGTTTGAGAATAGAGCTGCTATGTTAATGTGGCCTGCTCTGCCACACAATGAACCAAATCCAAGACAGGGTACATGCATGGACAGTATGATGAAGATGGACCCTTAACAACTTCTTGTCAACTCTGGTTCCATTGAGAAACAAATTTAATGATCTTTAGGTACCACAATTCTGCCATCTTTTCTGCCCTAAGAAATGTTTTACTAATTGAGTTTTCCCATTCAGTTGTGGGATTAAAAAACTGCATCTCCACCCATCTTTATTTTTAGTATGGATTCTCTACTCATATTCACTCACTCATTCCATTTAGTTGACTGCTGGATGACCCTAATTAAATGACATCATTGTTGGAGCAAGCATATTAACATGAGTTAGAAGATGCCTATAAACGCTTGTGGGGTTTTCCTGGTTTTTGTTTGTTTGTTTGTTTCTTTAACAATGAAGGTAAGCTTAGTGGGTGGGAAGAAATCTGTATGGAGGATTTCTAATCTTAGGGTTGAAATTCTTATCTAAAACTAACAATTTAAGGGATCTAAAAGAATTTTTTCTTTTTTTTTAATGCAATGCATCTTTTTGGTAAGTACAATATGTCTAAACAACACAGCTTTAAACAATCATGTTCTGGATGTAATATGAATCTCCCCCATTCTTATATTGTCTTCATTAAACCTATTAAGTCCTAAGGTTATGGTAGAAAATAAGGTAAGATAAATAAAGTGGAATTCAATCTAATTTTACATTTAAATTTGATAAATGTCAAAAAAATTTTGAACTTACTTTTGTGAGAGATCTGGCCATGGCCTAGAAGAAAGATAAAATTAGCAAACACATATAGATTTGTTTTTAAAGATGCTACATTATATCTTTTATAAAATAATTTGATTCTCAAAATATGTAACATTTTCTATTATCCTGAGGAATAAAGCAGAATCGTAAATGCTAAACAAATTATTAATCATAAAAACTAAATATTTAAACAAACTAATGAAATTTTATTAAGTGCCCTCTATGGGATTCAACCTAGGACTATGAGACTTTTGAGGCCTCTTATTAATTGTAAGACTGTAACATCTCCCACCTTCGAGGCTGAGCACCCATTCAGAGGGAGGGAGGGAGGGAGGGGGGAGAGAGAGAGAGAGAGAGAGAGAGAGAGAGAGAGAGAGAGAGAGAGAGAAAGAGAGAGAGAAAGAAAGAGAGAGAGGAGGGAGGGAGAAGAGAAGAGAGGGAAAGGGAGAGAGGGAGAGGGAGGGGGGAGAGAGACAGACTGAGACATAGAGGGAGGGTATGCAAATCCATCTCTTTATTAGGTATAATCCAGATCTTGTATTTCAGCCCACAAAATATTTTATTTCACTTTCCTACATGTGCTTTCACAATAGTAAAATAAAGATTTATAGGAATGTTTACCATAAAGAGCCTTTAACAGGGCCACTTGTTTTTCAATTGAGGAATCTGACAAGAGACGAATTGTCATTAACTACATGTTCCACTGATGGTGCGATGAATTCAAGGAAACAGTATTTCTATCCCAAGACAAATCTACTCTCACCTCAGAGAATGCTATAAAATCCTGTTCCACATGCACTTGGATCATTCGCAGTACTTTCTCCCGGAGGCCCGTGCCTTCCCTTTGTCAGTTTGGATCTTTAGTCAAGGGAGCGCTTCACTCGAATAGAGTGAGGCTTGCGAACCAGATCTTTCCCTCCCTCCGAGGGCCCTGCGTGCCTTGGCGCGGTGTGGGCCAGTGTGGCACCTGGGGGATTACACCTCTTTGGAGTGGAAATCTCTACTCAGAGAGAGAGAGAGAGAGAGAGAGAGAGAGAGAGAGAGAGAGAGAGACCCTAGGGTACCCCGGGAGGGAGTGAGCATACAGGGCGGAATGCCCAAGAGACCTAGGGACGATCGCCCATCTCACCAGCATCCCGTTTGCCCATTAATCCAAAGAACTGCTGCGGCTTGGGTCTCCGGGCGATTCTCTGCAGAAGATGCTCAAAGGGCTCCGGCAGTTCCTCCTGGGGGACATAAGCACAGACAAAAGGCGTATAAGGCAAACGGAGTGAGGCGCCCAGCAAACCGAGCCCTTCCCGCAGTACTCCGGCCCCGGAGGGGGAGGGGAGGGCAACCTTCCCCACGCTGGGGCTGAGCTGGGTCCCTCCCGAGGCGCTCCCTCTCTCCGCCCCTCTTCTCCGAACTCGCGTCCTGCTCCCCCAAGCCTGCCAGGCCGAGTTAGCAGCTGGCGCGGCGTCTTCAAGCCTCGAGCGCTTTCAGCTCTTTCCTCGCAGCCCGGAGACCTGCGCTCATCTGTCGCGCAGCCACCTGACTCCGTCTTGTCTCGGTACCGGCTTTGGAGAGTCCCCACCACCCTAAATGCACACAGGTGTGTGTGATCTGGGGTTGGGGCTTGCGATGGGGAAGGGTGATGATGCTTTACAGACGACTTTCGACTTTCGCCGTTTTCCCGAGGCGCGCTTCCCAGCGCGAGTAGCCTACAAGTTTCTAAACGGAAACTTGAAGCTACCAAGTCCGCAAAACAAATACAAAGGCAGGAAATTAACTTCCCTCCCGCCTCCAGCCCTCCAATGCCCCTGCAGCTCGCGCGTGTGCCCGCTGCTGCCTGCGACCAAGGCGCCCTCCTCTGCCGGTGCCCAGACGCTCGGGCAGTGCAGTTGGACAGGAGCCCCCGAAATCTCCGTTCCTGGGGATGAAAGCTCATGAGATTTCCTGCCTTGTTAGGATCTCGGGCTCATCCGGGAGGGCGTCCCTGCTGCAGGGAGTTTCTGGGCCAGACGGTGCAGCCCTCGGGAAGAAACTTGAATAGTGGGCGCAAAATCCCGTGAGGAACCCGGCAAATAGCGCCCCTTTCTATCCTCCCTCACGCATCCGTTGCCTCTCATCGCGGTTGCGGTGCCTGCCAGGCTAACTAGGGTGCTGTTGCGTGGGAAGGTGACAGCTCCCGAGCCCAGCGAGAAGGCCGCGGGCCGTCCTGGGAAGGGGCCTCACCTTGATCTGGTCGCTGTCGGACCAGTCCGACCAGTAATTCAGATCATCATTGGTTCCTATTTCTTCTGCAAACAGCTGAGTGGAGACGAGAAAAAAGACTGCCAAGGCCACGAGGATTTTCATGTTGGATATCTGGGAAGGGGTAGGGAGAAGAGACCAAAGAGAGAAAAAATGTATCTATTAGGGGTGGTTATCCAAGAGTTAGGGCAGCAGAATTTTCTGCCCCACAACGGATGAGCCAAGATCAAAAGCATAAGGACTAAAGTCTCGCCTGTACCCGTTAGGCAAGATAATCGTGTCCCAAAGATTCTCCAACCTTCTTCTCCCTGAAACCCAGCTCCCCCAGCCTCCCAACCCACCAACCCACACCTTCAAACCGGGAGGCTCTGCAGGTGGAAGACAAAGAGGGGCGTTGGCGTTTGGGAAGCCAGTCTCCCCACTGCCCCTCGCCGCAGCGGCGCACCCAGAGCGGCCACCTCGGACATATGGGCGGCGGGGTGAGCCGGGCAGCCGCGGCCGGCACGGCGGCGCGGGCACTTACTGCAACGGACAGTCCCACGGGGTACCGGGTTCCTCCGAGCGCACGCTGGTCGCTCCGCACTCTAGGTGGCTGCGGCGGGAAAGGAGGAGGTCCGAGCGCGCTCTTTTGCCTGCTCAGTGCCTTGCGGTATTTATCCCAGGCTCCTGGAGCCTCCAGACCCACGTGACACTCTCCCCACGCGACTTTCTGCTCAATATTTAATTAGCCGCCTCCTCTCCTTTCGCTTGCGTGATTGAGAGTTTCCGAGACAGTAACTCGTCGATGCCCATAACATCTGGACCCAATTGGGTTCTAAATGACGCAATTTTAGGAAAATCGAGGTCTCGCCATCCAATCCAGAGCGGCCTGCTTCCGTCTGCAGATCTGATACCCCCTCCTCTCTCCTTCTGAACTGGTTTCAAGACACCTGAGATTACTCATCAAGTTTGAGCAAAGTGACTCATTCCTTGGACTTCCGTAACTTTTCCGTCCCTTTAGACGTCAGGATAAGTTGCACTTTTGAGGATGGCCAAATAACTGTAGGCATTAAGACATTTCGTAGAAATCAGGCTAAGAAAGGAGGACTTCAGTGGAGGGGGGATGGGGAAGCGTTGTTTTCCCCTCTATTTCTAGCTTAAGAATATATAAGTGTTTCTGAGACACAGCATCTTTTTATGACCAGAGCATCCCTCTCCCAAATCAACGTGAATTTCCTTAGCATTACAAAAGGATGTTTAGTCTCAGTATTTTAGAAGATGGAAGCAGATTGATTTTACATTTTGGAGAAAGGGGAATTTAAACATGGCATCGTGTGTACGATTTCTTTCCTTCCAAGCTGGCTAAGTCTTCTTCCTTGCCATATCCAGGAGCAGGGGTTGGAACAGGACATTTTTTTTTTTTCTGCTTCTCTCCTACGCTTTCTTAATGAAGACTAGGAAACGAGCAACATAGTGTATAGGATCCTCACTCTTGTCACTAAAGGGCTCTACAAATCATATGTTTCTCCTTTCTATGAAAGTAAGTGTAGTGAAGATGCTAACGGGGCCATCATTAACAACATGAAATTATTAGACAAATAGCATTTGTACAGAAACCACAGCTTTCCATGAGCCTGTGGTTTCCATGCAGACACTGATCTCTAAATGAATTAGCATCTTTGGTGGAGTTATTTTCTTCCCCTTACTTGTAAAGTATTATTTTTTCAATTATGATTTTTTTAGTACATTGCATAAAGGAAATACATTTTTGCAACTCAAACAAGTAATTTTTTTTCTCTAATATATGTTGTTCTTTCTTAAATAACCCTGATTTTGGAAATTCTCATGCATCTCTCATTTCTTTAGGCCTTAGCCTCACAATGTGAGCATTTTATTTTTTATTTTCTAAACTTTTTATATGGAAAACTATAAGCATATCCAAAAGTAGAGAGAATCATCCACTTGAAACAATTTCCATGTTTCATCTACAACCCTTCCAGTTTCTTCTGCACTCAGATTATTTTGAAAAAAAAAAATCCCAAATATTTCATTATTTCAACCGTAAATATTTCAGCATGTCTGTATAAAAGGTAAGGATTAAAGAAACAAAAACATAACCATGCCATTATCCCACCTAAAACAACATAAAATAATTCCTTATGTTAAATCTCCAGTTAGCATTCCAATGTTTCTCATTGCCTCCTAATTCCTCCCGACACAATTTACCAGTTGAAATCAGAATTATAATGATGTCCATATATTACAATTGGTTTTGTTAGTTCAAGCTGCTGTAAGACTGCGTGACATAAACAACATAAATTTATTTCTCACAGTTTTGAAGGTTGGAAGTCTGAGATTATGGTGTCCACATGACCTGGTTCTGGTTAAGGCCCTCTTCCAGGTTACAGACTGTCATATTGTCTCCTTGTTGTAACCTCACATGACAGAAAAGAGTGAGAGAGCTCTTTAAGGCCCCTTTTATCAGGACACTGATTCCATTCATAGGAGCTTCACCCTCATGACATAATTACCTTCCAAAGATCCTGCTTCCTAATACCATAACCTTAGGGGTTAGAATTTCAACACATGCATTTTGGAGGGATACAAACATCCAGTGTATTGCATGTTTCTTAAATCTCTCTGAATCTATAATTCACTCTTCTCTTTCTCTCTCTATTGTAGTTTATTGATAAAACAGATCAAGAGAGTATACTGTATTCTGGAGTTTGCTGATTGTCTTTTAATTTGTTTATATGTTTTGATTATTTTCTATTAATTAGTAGTTGGAACTAGAAGTTTGATCCTCTATATGCTTTTCTTTCTTTCTTTTCTTTTTTTTTTTTGATGAGGCTACTTTACATGTGTTGTGTCATTCTAGTAGGAAGTGCGTGATATGTGGTTGTTTCTTCTTTTGAGTTGTTAGCAGCCACTGACTATCATTTTCTAAATCTATTAATTCATTAATATTTTCAAAACAGTACTGTTTTGATTTTATCATTTATTATTGGTTTGGTAGCTGGACCATTTCTTTCATGTTTTCTCAACAACTATTTAGTTATTCTAAGGCATTATTAATACAAGAAAGATGGAACAAATGCTTGATTATGTCTCTCTGCCAATTTTAAAAACAATGAATTGGTAAATTAGCATCTTTAAATAAGACCCACTTAAAAAATTAGGATTATTATGACTTCATGGATTTAAACACATTTGACGTAGAGTCATAGGTCAGTAAGCATAGGGAATTCATTGTAGGACCCCCCTGTAGGTATCAAAATCTGTGGATACTCAAGTACTTGGTATAAAATGGTGTGGTATTTAATATAGCCTATGCACATCATCTCATCTATTTTAAATCATCTTTAGATTACTTATGATACTTAATATAATATAAATGCAGTGTAAATAGTTGTTATACTGTATTGTATGGAGAATAATGCAAAGCGAAAAAGTCTGCATGTGTTTAGTACAGATGCACTTTTTTCTGAAAATTTATGAACCATATTTGGTTAAATCTACAGATGTAGGACCCATGGATGCAGAGGGCTGACTATATTTCAACTGATGGCAGGCATTCTTCTAATTGAAGTTCAGACCTATTCTTGGTCAGCAGGTGACACTTCAAGGCGACTCCTGAGACTTTATGCCAACAGACTTTGATGGCCTTTTTTTTTTTTTTTTTGGTATGACAAAATGTTTCAGGTCCAAGTTGTGTACATTTTGCTTCAGACCTGAAATCTTCCTTTAAGAGGCCCTAATTTTAGAATTGAGAATGATCATTAGAGTTCATAAACTGGGCTTTATTGGTGCACATTGTTAGTGAGTTCTGCATTCCTTCAAGACCCTTTCAGTGGACAGAGCTGAGAAAAATGTGTGTGTGTGTGTGTGTGTGTGTGTGTGTGTGTGTGTTTCTAAAGTCATGAATGTATACGGAATTTCTTTTCAAATCAGGATCTCATAGAGTTTTTAATTAACCTAATCTATTTTGCATCTATTTTTCCATACCCCAAATCTCCATTCCCAATGACATCATCATGATTATTCATTAGCTTTATCGCAATACATGATGCCAATATGATCAACAATATCATTAGTGGAAACAGATTAAGAGTTTTTGTTTCCAATTTTGTTCTTTTTTTTTTTTAACTCTTTAGGGCATATCACACCAGGTATATTCAATCATATTACTGTGTTATAAAATCACTTTAAAAGTGCTTTGTATGGTTATGCTACCAACTCGTACACAGGTAGATTCATTCGCTCATTTTGCTCAAGTTATAGAGATCCCAAGTTATAGGGATCACGTAAATTTAGAATTATGTCAAATACATGGTTCTAAACTCAAATATTAAAAACATGTGGCCCATGTGGTGGTTCATGCTTGCAATCCCAGCACTTTGGGATGCCAGGGCTGGTGGATCACCAGCTCAGGAGTTTGAGACCAGCCTGGCCAACACAGTGAAACCCCATCTCTACTAAAAATACAAAAAATTAGCTGGGCATGGTGGCATGCACCTGTAATCCCAGCTACTCAGGAGGCTGAGGTAGGTTAATCACTTGAACCCAGGAGGTGGAGGTTGCAGTGAGCCGAGATCATGCCACTGTTCTCCTGCCTGGGTGACAGAGCTAGACTCTGTCTCAAAAATCAAACAAAAAACCACCATCAACAAAAAATCAACAATAACAAAAAACCATTATGTATTCAAACAAGTGTAGCTTCAGTCCCTATCTCTCTACTTTCTTACATCTAGTAGTATTTCTTTTTAGGTTTTTGGTTTAGCCTTCTATTGTTATTGTTTTTATTTTAATATAAAAAAAGATGTAATAATGTCCCCCTAAATCTTGTAAAATTCTATACCTAAAGTAGGACATTTTAGAAATAATATTATGTACTTTTTCTTTAAATTATCATGTATATAATACTATGATATATCTCATATCTATAATATTCTCCCAAATTGCTTTAATTCTTTGTCTTTTTTATCCACATTCATTCAGATTATCTAAGTTCTTTTCTGCCAGTAACAACTTTTGTCTATTCTGTGCCTTGCTCTTTCTAATTTAGTTATCATTTCCATAATCATGTTGCATAGTCCACAATTTGTTCTCTAGACTGGTAATTTCCTTTATCATCTCATTTAATTTTTAAATTATTCTATTAGTATGTTCTTATTTTATTGAACTAATGTTCCTAAGACTTTCTTAGAGTGAAGTGAGGGAATTGCTTTCTGTTTCCTGAGTTATATTTTCTTCTATTTCAATGGTAAAATGCATGAATTTTGAGCAAACTCTGCCGATTTTAATACTTAGCCATTTGCTGGCATATAGTCTTGGATAAATTACTCAAGCACTCCTTGCCTCAATTTTCTAGTCTGTTAAATACAAAAATAAATGGTTTTTACCTCATAAATTTTGCTGTGGGGATTAAATGAGTAAATACATGTGAAACGTCAAGAACAGCACCTAGCACATGCATTGACTATTAACTGTTATTATTCTAGATGAGTGTGTGTATGTGCACACTCATGTTTGTATGTAATACTTAATATTTTATGTCCATTTTATTAGGCTATAATGCTAAATTATTTGGTTATATACATCTACATGTTGTTGTGAAGTTGTTTTTTTTAGATGTTACTAATATTTCAATCAATAGACTGTGAGGAAAGTCATTACCTTCCATGATGTGGGTGGGCTTCATTCAATCAGTTGAGGGTCTTATGAGAAAAAGATTGAGGTCCCCTGAGGATGAAGGAATTCTGCTTCCAGACTACCATGGGACTTAAGATCTGAAGACATCAACTTGCTGGAATTTTTAGCCTGCCG